AATCAGAGAGACTCCAGGAATATTTGAGCGAATACGTGGCTCAATGCGCCGACGTCTAGACGCATGCGTAATGTCTGTAGGTAGACATATTGAACATTTACTATGATTTCTACATGTCGGGTGTTTTGTTATTAATAAATTAGTTTTGTTTATTACCCTTTAAACATTTTTTGTTTAGAATCAAACAGGCTATCGGAAATGAATTTTTGAATGGTAAACAAATAATAAGACAAAAAGTTACATTGGAAATTAATTTTGGTGGTTGCGTTTTTCACCCCTTACAACCATGGGGTAAACCAAATAAATTACTGTCTAAGTGTCTTTTTGGTAGTACAAAACGTCAGGTTAATTTCAATATTGAAACTTTTTCAGTGCTTGTGAAAAAAATGTTTTACAAATTTTATGTACCCCCTTTAAGGGGCTGTATCGTAACAAGGGATGCTCCAATGAAGTTTCTTTATATGAAAGATCCTATCTTTTTTTCGATGAGGAATCACCTCCTTAAATGTTTTACACTTATTTAGTTACACCCTGTATAGGTAATAATTTCAACTGTCTGAACGATTTTCCATCAATCATGTTATTACGGCTTTTTATTACCGCCCTTGGTCTAGAAAATACATCGTTGCCGAGTTAAAATGTGATAAGTATGCCCAAAATTGCACACAGAAAAGTAATCTTCATTGCATTTGTTCGATATTGTCTTGATGGCCCTCGAATAAAATAATTTCTCCGAATTGGTTAAAATAGCAAGTCGTGGATGAGATTGTAAAACATACGCTAAGTGGAAACGATAGCCTTGTTGTGCTCCTCAAGACCAATTGAACAAATTAGTTAATTACCTAAAGCACCGAGGCATAAAACTACTAGCGTAATATACACGTCTGAATATTCATAATTACTTGTTTGTAATTGGTTATTATCGTCAGCTCATAAATATTAGTTGAGTCATGTCGTTGAACGATCATACGATTCAGAGGAAAATCGACATACCATCAAAAAGTACCTACATCTAGACGTCAAATATGTACATGAGTCTTTCCACAGGCCTAATAACACTTTGAAAAGTATCTAGATACAGAAATCCGATTGAATTTCCTTTCAATACTATTTTTCCTATGGAATGTGTCCAAATCTACAGTTAATTTGGATATGATCTGCTTAAAAAGTCTGCAAAATGGTTTTTTCATAAATAAATGAGTGTTCTTACATCCTTCACATGTGATAATGTATCAAGGAAAACATTAATTTTCATGGTGGCTCCATTTTTCTTGCCTACGACTGCAATACTGAAAAACTTAATGCAGAATCACAATTTATAACCTGCAAGCAACTACAAAGTCTTTTGATATTTCATTTTGAACATATAAACCATTTCCTCCATGTCGACCACTCACACAATACAAGATTCCGTTATGAAACATCTAAAATACCTAATGTCAATACAGCCAAAAACCAAAGATTCTTTGTCTACATCTGCCCAGTAGTAAATGCCCAACTTTGATTTTCATTATTTCTAATGGCAAATAAGATACTTTCTAGTGGCAAATAAGCATCTTCAAAGAGTATTTGTCTTGCAAAAAGCTGCTGTACGTAGCATTGTTAAAGCTGAATATAATGAACACTGTAAGCCTTTGTTTGAGAATACAGGAATCATGACTCTATTCTCACAAATTATCTTTGACAATGTTCTGCATGTCAAAGAAAATTATCACACACTCACAACACACTCGGATATTCACTCCTACAAAACACGCAATGGAAATAATATTGTGCCCCTCTTAAGAAGATTGGATAAAAGCAAAT